TCTCAGAAGCTACGGTTAGCAGTGTGGATCGGCGACAGCAGCTCCCAGAGGTGGTGGGGCGGCTCCAGGTGGTGGGGCTCCAGGTGGTGGGGCTTCCGGTTTTTCCGGCAAGCCTTGTGGCACCGCTTCACCGCACATTTGAGCGTCGTCGTAATCACCTGCATATGCTGGGACTGTTGTGATGGAATAAGAGTAGCAGCGCGAAGCCTCTGGCTGATACCCATTGGCGTCGCAATCAAGACTATTGATGCCAATGTTCCAGGAGACTCTGCAAGGGTGTTCTCCATCGGTGTAAGGAAAGACTCCCTGGCGTGTGTGAGCCCAACCGACGTAATCACCAGGCAAGAACGGAACTTGTTGGGAGAACGTGTACTCCATGACGCCAACATTCGGTGTGTCGATCTCCTCCGTCTCTCCAATGTACTTAAACCCAGTTCGATATTGTCCCGGCTGCGTAGGTCGGTAGATGCGGAACCGGAACCCCTGGCTGCCAGGATTTTGCACGTAGAACCTCACGCTTCCCAGTTTCCCGGCTGCTGTGAACCCGCCTGCCGCACGGTCGACAAACTCAAAATTACTGCGTGTGTCGATGCTCGGTCTTTCTTTGATTTCCCAGCCCTTTTCCTCGCCTAATCCATCCGCCTCGGAGAGGCGGCGGCGCTGAGCCTCGGTGGAGGGGTCGGCGACGCGGTCGATGGACGAGGCGTCGACCACGTCGGTGGCTTTTGCAGGCGCGGGGGCGCCCCTGGCCGCGTTGAAGCGCGAAAAGGCAAACTCGGTCGCGTAAGGGCTCGCCACCTCGTAATCTGACACCGTGCCCTCGATGGCGCCCTCCGCCTGGGCGCTGGTGGTGTAGGAGCCTGAAAAAGGGTAGAGGTCCTTCTTGCCGTGCCGCTCGAGCCCCGGCGTGGCATAGGACTGCCCAACGATGCCGTGCGGCCTGTCGCGGGCCGGCGCGTCGCCTCTCGCTGTGAAGCCAATGTCCAGGCGGTGCTCGGGGCCCGCGACCAGACAGCCCTTGCACGAGCGGCTGCCGTGCACCTTCACGGTCCAGTTTCCGAGCTCAAATGTGGCGCTCGAGTAGCCCATCGACATTTTTAGATCAAAGCATTCCTTGTGACCGCGGTTCCCAAACTGGTAACCCCGACCGACGCAAGTTCCATTGATCACTTTCCAGCCGAAGTTGGCCGGGTTGAGCTCTGACGCCCAAAATGAGGCGGTCGCGCTCCTCTGAGGAGCGAAACGCGCAATCACGTGCGCCTCGGTGAGGAAGGAGCCGTTGATTGTTAGTGCGCCATCATGGATCTTGAACACGGCCTCCTCCGTCTTCACGTTGACTGAAAGGCCCGGCGCAGACAGAAAGTTGTAGAGCGCGTTGGGACGGCCGCGGAGGTCGGCGGAGCCTCCATACGCAAAGTCGATGTGAGGGTCGCGGAAGACCTTTGAGCTGAGGTCGCAGGCAGCGCTTTCTGATGCCAGGGGCGCCGCGCAGAGCGGCAGCATGTGAGGGGATCTGCTTTGTTCTTTCTGGCCGATGGACGCGCGAGTTTTGCCGCCTGGCCGACGGGATTTAGCAGTTAGTTAGGTCTGTAGGTGTACTTTTAGCTTACTGGGAGAAAAGAGAGAGGGGGTTGTGTTCTCTAGGCCCCTAGGGGCCCTACGCGCGGCGTGAGAGCTCGGAAGCGAGCTTAGCACGGCGATCGAGGATGGCACGGTTCACCCCCTTCACCGAAGCGATGGAGATGCGTTCCGCGTGGTGTGACACAAATGAGAGGCGGGAGTGGGGAGGGTACGCGGTGCGGTCAACGCCCGAGCGTTGAGCCTTGCGCGCAAGGCGGTTGATCTTTGCAACTGCAGGCGGCGAGAAGCCGCCGCCGAATGTCTCGTGGAGAAGCAGGTTGAACTTGTTTCGTTTGCCGAAGATCCCGTCTCTCTCTAGGTGTATTGTTGGCAAATCAAGTTAGTTAGGTCGGTGCAACGCCATGCAAGGATATGGACGCATTGAGCTGGGGGGGTCACAGAGCGATCGGCTCCGACACGAGAGGCTCATAAGGGGTAGAGTGTTGGCGGCACAGATGCGCCGCGGGGAGCCGACCGTCACTGCTGCGACTGCGTCGTCGGCCGCGCCCGCGGGGCGCGGGCGGCCGAGCGCCCGAGCCTGTGGCTGTGATGTTCGAAATGTTCAGCAATCATTCAAAATTCAATATTGCGCTCAAAACGTGAAATAGTCAAGGGTTGGGGCGGGGTTGCTCGGGTCGGGGGGGGGGCGGGGTTGTGGGGTGGGGTGGGGATGTCGGGGTGGAGAGTGGGTGGGCGCCGGGGTGGGAGTGGTGTGACTGCTCCTGTGGTGCGGGCGACGGCTTCTGAGGAAGCCGTCGCCCGCGCCTCGCCTGTCGCGTGAATCGTGTCGTGCGACCGCCTTTTGTTGTAAAACTCTTAGGAAATTCAGAAAACACGCCTCCGTGGCTCGGGTTACACCAATCCTCGCTACCCAACGCGGCCAAAGGATATCCACCTCGAGAACCTCGAGAATCTTCGGAGATTTTCTTCTTTTTTTCCCTTTTTTCTGGGGCGTGGGACCTACTGCATTTTTAGCCAGCCGAGCCTGAAGCAGGCTGACTAAGGGCTAACCAGGTGGTGCAGCAGTGCTGGCGGAGATGCCCAGCAGCCTCGTCTGGGCCGTAATCGGCATCGATCTCTTGCTCTTTGCCTGCCTCCTCCTCGCCGTGCTCTGGCGCCGGCGCCGCTCTGCTCGTGCTCCTCCTCCTCCTCCGCCGCCGCAGCCGCAGCGCCGTGATTTCGTCATCGTGGACGTCAACAATGTGCGTGGTGGCCGGCGCTTTGACCGGGACGTCGACGAGGCGGTCGCCGGCCTCGTCTGGTGGGCCTCCAGTCTGCCTGGCCGGCCTGCCGTCGTGCTCGCGGTGGATCACGGACCCCAGGCGTGCACCTATGCGCTCGAGGGCACGCGTTGTCTCGTCTGCTTCGCCGGGCCGAACATGGAGGCGGACGACACCATTGTCTGCTCCACCTACTTTTGCGCGCGCCGCGCCGAGCCGGTGGTCCTCGTCTCGTCGGACTCGAACCTGCGGCTGCGCTGCGCCGCGGCCGTCGCCAACCCGCGCAAGGACGGGATCGCGCGGCCCGTCAAGCGCGGCGGCGGCCGCCTCTCCTACCTGCCTCGCGACGGTGCCAGCCTTCCGGCCGCAGGAGTCCTGCTCGCGCCTCGGCCCGGAGAGGGGGCGGAGCAGCTGCTGCTGCGCGACATCGTCGGACCGGCGCCCCTCTCGGCCAAGGCGAGCGCCGCCCTCCGGTACAGCCGCCGGGAGCGCTCCGGAATCAAGTCCGAGCTGACGTCGATGCGCGTCACGCAGGCCGAGACGCTCTTCCACCGCCTGGAGCAGTCTCGCTTCGCGAGCCTGGTGGCGGGCCCGGCGCCGCCGGACGCGGAGCCGCTCATCGCGCACGCCGCGTGGCTCAACGACTTGGAGGCGCTCGAGGCGACGCGGCGGCGGCTTGGGGCGGAGATGCGGGGGTACTGGGATGCGCAGGTGTTTCCGAAGTCCGAAAGAGTCGAGGCGGAATAAGCTAGGGAATACGTGTGTAAGTGACTATTACCTAAGTGTGACGACTGTCGTGTGTACTGTACTGTGTCAGTTCGCTCGGCTCCACTCTTGGAAGTCAGAGAACCACCGCAACTCCAACCTACATTTACAACCTATAAGAGAGGGCCGCGTAGGCCAGGCTGCACCCGGCCACCAGCACTCCGACAGACAGGCTCCAGTAGACAGCGGCGACCGTGCCGAGCAGCCTGTTGCCCGCGCGGACAGTCCATTCGGCTGGCGGGGCGCGCTTCCACTTGCTCGCCATCGCTCGCATGAATGGCCCCTCGACGTATGTGGCAAAGGCAGCCGCGAGGATCCACAGAGAGAGAAGGAAAAATACGAGGTATGGTCCGAACTGGGGGTTGCCAACTCGCAGATTTGGCCCTTCCAGCATCAGCCACAGGTTGTGTGTCGGCTCCTGGAACACGTACACCTGCAGCGAGAGCGCGCCGACGGACGCCATCGCTCGCGATGAGAAGAAGGCGAGTAAGGGCCCCCCACCTGCACGCACGTCACCACCAACCCCACCACCACCGCCGCCGGCACAAACGGTTGCGCCCGTCGCCCTCTGCCTGCTCTGCTGGCAGTGAGCGGCCGATCCCAGCATGAAGGCGGCAAAGAGCGGCGACAGGCAGCTAGAGAAGGCGAGGCGGCCGGCGCAGACATCGTACACGCTCGCCGGCCCAGCTGGAGGCCAGCCGGCGTACCGCACGCGGCCACCGTCTCGGTGCGGCCGGTTGGCTGCAGATAGGTCAGCGGTGGGAACAGGTACTCCGCCTCGTTTGGAAACGCGGACAGAAAGGACACGTTGGGCCCGCGGTCGTAGAAGGAGTCGGTGATCAGCCGCAGCAGCACATGTTTAGAGGTGATCGTGCGGCTCGCCGAGTAGCGCAGCGCGACGCTCAGGTCGGACGTCGTCGACATGGGGGCGAGCTCCGTGCCGCCGTCGGCCATGAAGCTGTCGGGCGCGGCCACGTCCTTCATCCCGCGGTAGAGGAGGAGCTGCGAGCTGGCGCTCTCGCGGCTGACCTCGGCCTCCACCGAGCGGAGCTTCGTCAGGGCGTCCCGGAGCAGCGCGACCGTCGCGGGCAGCGGGTGGGGCTCCCCCCGCTCGTACCGCCCCCAGTCTCGGAGGGGGTTGTTGATCGACTGGAAGGCGGCGGTGGTGTACAGCCGCAGGGCGACGACGTGCGCCTGCTCGAGGTTGGCGAGCCGCGAGTGCTCGTGCGTCACAAAGTCGCGAAGGAGCATGCCGCGTCTTACCGCGCCGTCGCAAATAGTGCGCGACTCCAGCACAGCGCCTTTGTCGTCGCAGTCGCGCTTGAGGCCGCCCTGAAAGGTGAGGTCGCTCGAACCCGCCTCGGCGTAGAGAACATAGGCGAGGCACTCCTTGTCGACGTCCGTTCCGGCGAGGCTTACCTGCAGGGAGAGGCAACTAGGATGAGAGGGTGAGTGCGAGAGTGTGCGGCGATCCGGCGATGGGTCGCATTTACCTCGCTCACGATGGCCGCAGTCCCGTCGATCCGGCCCTGGTGCACGATATTGTCTGGCACGCACATATAGGCCTCGACGCCTAGTGCCGCCTGGGCAGGGCGGCCGAAAACGAGCTCGCGTGGCGCCGAGGCGAAGCGGTCGTAGGAGTCGAGGATGCTCGCCAACGTTTCCTCCTCGGCATTGAAGCGACCAGACATGCATTTGAACACCTCTGTTATCTCCGACTCCATGCGATGGAGCTCATCGTTGGGCGCCACGTTGGCGGGGTGTCTGCGGCATAGTGCGAAGAACAGGCACAGCATCAGACCGACGGACGCCAGGACGCCGATGATTACCAGGAGATAGGGGGGGAGACCGTTCTCGCCGTCCTCAAGAAGAAGCGGCGGGGGGGGCGGGGTCGACGGCGGCAGTGGCGGTGGGAGCGGCGGCGGAGGCGACGCGTCAAAAAGCGGTTCGCCCTTTCCGAAGTTGAAGACCACGCCGCTGCTCTCGCGCGATCCGCCGTCCCAAGTGCACGCGCCGTTGTCGAACTGCGCTACCCGTTTCTCGGAGAAGCCGCCTTGGTCGAGCAGGTTGAACAGGAGAACGTTCGCATTGCCCCTGTCGCCCTTCTCGTCGAACTGCACGCGCCCAGTAAGGCCGTCAAACGACAGGCTCTGCTTGGACGCCCAGAACTGCGTGCCGAATGAGGCTGGCACTTTGCCCATCGGGGCCACCTCGCACGCCAGCAGCCCTGCCGCTATGATAGCATCGTAAGCAAACGCACCGCCATTGCGTAGCACTGTACTCGTGTGTGGGTCGACGGTGCTGAAGAAGTCGCCGCGGATCTGCCAGTCGGCAGGCAAGGACGGGTTGAAGTCTCCGGGCTCAAGCGTCGCCCAGCGCTCGTTTGCGAACTTGGTCCACTGCAGGTTGCCGTCGGTCGCACCGACCGCCTTGATACTCAGGCTGCCGTTCAGCGCGGCCCGCGCCTTCTCGCTCAAATCGTCCAGTTGGTGCGGCAAAACGCTGTCAGCGAAGACCCAGGAGACGCCAGCTCGGAGCAGGCCGGTGTCGAGCGCAACTTCTACGATAAATTCGAGCACTGGTAGGGAAGCAAGGACTAGCACTGCCTTGGCTCCGCTCTCGCTCAGGCTGGCGACAGCGGAACGAATCGATTGCTGGCTGCTTGAGCCCTCAAAGAAGTCGGGGATGTCTCTGCTCACAAACGTCAACCCGAGGCCAAGACAGGCGTCCTTCGCTGCCTCCTCGTAGGCGCGCCCGTACGCGGTTTGCATATAGAGCACAGCCACGGTCGCAAGCCCTAGCTCGTCCTTCCAAAAGGAGCAGAGGTCTGACGCGGGAGCTAGGGTCGAGGGGATGGTCCTCATGAAGCGCGGAAAAAGAATAGGGTCGCGCAGATCGGGAGAGGTTGACCAGTACGAGATCTGCGGGATGTCGAGCGCACCGGTGATGGCCGCAGTGGTGGCGGTGACACGGCTACGAACGGCGCCGATGACCACGTCTGTGTCAGACAAGTCTCCCAGCGCTCGGACCGACTTGGCAGCTGTGCCGCCGCTGTCGAGCAGCCGAAACTGGAGCTGCTTGTCGCACGCTCCCAAGGACCCGAGCACGGGCAGAGCAGCAGCGTCTCGCGAGTTGAAGTCCGTCACTGCCGTCAAAGCGGCCGCGACGACCGCCTGCATCGGCTCTGCAAGCCAGCACGTGCCGTTGACCCACTCGGCGACGCAAGTTTCGGCCCACGTGAAGCGCGCGTCCGACTGATAGGTGAGAATGGCGAGGTTCACATTCACGGAAATGAGTGCTGGTAGTAGTAGCGACAGCATGGATGGCGGGGCCGGCAGGCGCTGCGATAATGCGACCAAAGCAAGCGAGTGCTCCACGGCAGGCAAGGTCAAGCGAAGGCGTCTCCTTCATTCTGACACGCTGTGGTTGGCCCGCGTTTTCTTCTTTTGACGCTGCCTACCCCCTTTTCGCTGCCTCATGGTCGCACTCTCCTTCGCCGCCTCGTTCGGCTCGCACATGGTCCTTCAGCAGGCGCCAGCGCGTGCATCGCTGTGGGGCTTCGCGCCGGCGAGCGCCACTGCCGTGGCAATCGAGCTTGCCGCCGACGCTGCATCGACACCCATCGCCGTCAACAAGCCTCACCCTCCCGCCGCCTAGCCGCTCACTCGCCGCTCGCTCGCACGCTCGCGCTCGACCTCCTACTTCCTCGTGATCCACCGCCGTCACCCTCGCCTCACCCTCCCGCCGCCTTGGCGACGCCGCGATGGTTAACCCTCGGTCAAAGCATGCTACAAGACACAAATTTCTACTCAAACGTTTGGTCAAATGCCTCCGCTCGGCGTGGGGCATGATCATCGAGATGGAGCCGACTGCACACCTCAGTTACAGTAATCCAAAACAACCTGACGTGGCGGCGGCAAACATCGGCAGGGGGCACAGGCGCCTTGTTGCCGATTTGAAGCTCACGAGCTCGCTTGCGAGCACGGGCAAGGACACGACCGGCGACGGAGAGCTCGGCTGGAAGGGGGCCTATGTGCGTTTTGGCAACACGGAGACCGGGCTGCTCAAGTTGGTCAAAGGGCGCGGCAAGTGGTCTCCGTCGGAAGCGACGGCAGCGGCGGTGGCGGGGGAGGAGGAGGAGGCCGAGGAGGAGGGGGAGGAGGGGGAGGAGGAGGATGCCCCCAAGGGAAAGCTCAAGGAGCAGCCTGGCGATTACCCCTTTGCGCGGCAGCAGGATTGCGATCTACGTTTGTTTGATTTTGAGGCTTTCGGAGGCTTTGGAAAGGAGGTTCGCAGCACCCTGAGGGAGGCGGCGAACCAGCTGAGCAACAAACTTTCGCACGCTCAGCACCTGGACGAGGTCACATGGACCACCAAGAACTGGCACGGGCTGCAGATGCAGCGCTTGTCTGTCGTCCTCCACACCGCCGTGGCGTGGCAGACGGTGAACGAGCTAGCGTGCGGGGAGAGCGGCATTGTGCATGGTGCGGAGTGCATTGCCGTTCTTAACGGAGTCGCTTAGGCGGCTCCGGTGGTGAGCCTGTGTGTGTGCCAGTCCGCGCCAGTCTGCGCCCTTGTTGTGCCAGTGTGCTGTGAGAAAGGCGCCCTTAAGAATTCTTTCTTCCGGCGTTGGTGGCCATCACCGGCTGCCTCAGTCGGGGCAGCAACTGCCTCCGCCAGTCGCCGCCTTCGCTGCCTCATGGTCGCACTCTCCTTCGCCGCCTCGTTCGGCTCGCACATGGTCCTTCAGCAGGCGCCAGCGCGTGCATCGCTGTGGGGCTTCGCGCCGGCGAGCGCCACTGCCGTGGCAATCGAGCTTGCCGCCGACGCTGCATCGACACCCATCGCCGTCAACAACTTCACCGCTCAAGCTTCGCTGGCGCGCTTCAACGCGACCGCCCTGGTTTGGTCCGTCCTACTGCCAGCCGTGGCAGCGCAGAAGCGGCCCGACGGCTCCGCGGTGCAGTACAGCGTCACGGCGAGGATGGGTTCGGAAGCTCACGCCACACTCCTCGACGTCCTCTTTGGCGAGGTCTGGCTCTGCTCTGGCCAGTCCAACATGGCCTTCCTCGTCGAGAACTCGTTTGGCGGCGCAGACCTGGTGCAAGACGCAAATAACCACCCCGAGATCCGGCTCTTCACCACGCGCAAACTCACGGCGCAGAGGCCGCTGCAGGAGCTCGGCGAGAGCACCAACAGGGGCGACTGGGTGGACGGAGTCGAGCTGCCGTGGTCGGTGGCGAGCAACGTCTCCATCTCGATGAACGCCCCCCGCGCCGGCGGAGCGAATGACGACAACTGGCTGTACATGTCCGCGGTCTGCTACCTGTTTGGCAGGGCGCTGCAGGCGGCCAGGAAGACCCCGATCGGCCTCATCAGCACGAACTGGGGCGGGACGGCAATACAAGACTGGATGCCGCCCGCCGCCCTGGACGACTGCAGGCACGTGTCGGCCGATGCGGCGGCTGATTCACTGGCGGCGGAGGGCGGCGGGGCGGAGGGCGGCAGGACGGAGGGCGGCGGGGCGGAGGGCGGCGAGGCGGAGGGCGGAGAGGGTGGCGTCCGCGCCGCCGCGAACCTCTCCACCTGCCTTCCCTGCTGCGAGGAGCCGCTGCCGGGGCAGTTGTGCTGCTGCCCCCCGCCTGGCTGCGCGATCCCGCCGTCGTGCCCGCCGCCGCCGGCACTGGCAGAGGGAGCGGGGTCGGGATCATCGCTGGCAGAAGAGGGGGCAAGGATATTGGCAGAGGGTGTGGCGGCATCGCGCGTGGCGACGCACCTATACAACGCGATGGTCTCGCCGCTGCGGAACGTCACGCTCGCTGGCGTGGTCTGGTACCAAGGCGAGTCGAATGGCGGCGCTCCCGTCCCGTACGCCTGCCAGCTGCCCGCGCTGGTCAAGCGGTGGCGGGAGGGCTGGGGAGGCTGGCGGCGACACGACCACGGCTTCGCCTTCGGTGTGGTGCAGCTGGCGGGCGACGTCGACGAGAAGGCGCCGATCGCGCTGCCGATCTTCCGCTGGCTGGGCCAGACACAGGGCTTCGGCTCGCTGCCCAACACCAAGATGCCAAACACCTTCCTGGCGAGCGCGTTCGACCTCGGCGACGCGGCGTCCCCGTTTGGGTCCGTCCATTCCCGCCACAAGAAGGAGGTTGGCGAACGGCTCGCCCTCGCTGCGAGGCGCTGGGCGTACCGGGAGCCCTCCATCACAGCGGGGCCCATCCTGCAGAGCGCGGTCGCCGACGCCGGACGCCGGCGCGTCGTGCTCACCTTTCGGGAGGTTGGCCCATCCGGCCTCGTGCTCTCACGCATGAACACATCGAGGGTGAGGCCCGGCCCTCGACCCCGCCGCCAGCGCGTGAACGCACCGCCACCCTCATACCCTCTCACCCTCTCACCCTCTCACCCTCATCCTCATCCTCCCACCCCCCCACCCTCTCTCCCACCCTCCCACCCTCTGTCCCACCCCCGCCCGCTCACCCTCTCAGCCCCGCGTCCCTCATAAGGCGCACAACATGACCAACTGGGACGGCACCACGCCGTTCGAGGTGTGCGCCGACGGTGCGGGCGCGGCGTGCGGCGCGATGAGCACGTCGTTCGACGGCGCTTGGTCGCTCGCTCCGAGAACCAGCCTCGGCGCCGACGGCAAGAGCATCGTCCTGAGCGGCTTTGCGGACGGCGGCAGCGGCCGGGGCCGCGGAGGGCGTGCAGAGTTCCCACCCGCGGCGGTGAGGTTTGCATGGCGGGCTTACCCGTGCGAGGTGCTCGGATGCGGCGTGTACACTGTGGTGGGGGGCGTCCCGCTCCCACCGGCGCCCTTTCACAGCGCGGTGGAGGTGTCGACGAAGTTGGCGCTCCCGCCCTCCCCGTTTTTGCGCGCTCGCGCCGAGTAGCCCGCTCTCGCAATTACCGGTACCGCGTAATCGCGTCCTCAAGTACGTTCTTCGAAAACCTACTGTCCCGCGAACGCGTGACGCCTGACGCGTTTTTGCACGGGCAGGTGCCAGGTGGTAGCAGGCGCGCAGCTTGAACGGCTTTCCAGCCCACCCCACGTGGTCAACCTCTGCCGCTCGCGTCGCCACCGCCTCGCCCGTCGCCTCCAGCTCGATCTCAAGCCTGGCGAGCGCCGCCTCTCCCTTCTCCAGCGCATCTGTCTGCCAGCCGACGCCGGTGAAGAAGACCCGGCCAGCCGGCAAGTCTGCCCCGTTACGCTCGGCTCCCGCCGGAAAGTCGAGGTGAAACCTCGCCAACTTGGCGCCAAAGACCGCATTGTTGGAGATCCACGCCCACGCTCCGGCCGTGACTGGCACCTGTTGATCATGATTACCAGTCACTAACTACTAACTATTAATTGACTCGTCGCGCGCAGCATGTTGAGCACCTCGCACAGGCCGTCGGCGGTGACGAAGCGGCCAGATGCGAGAGGAGTGAGGCGCCGCTGCTGACCGTGCGGGCCCAGCAGATCCTCACGGCCGCTCTCAATCGGCTCGCCCTCATCAAACCGTGCCTCGATGCTGAAGCGAAGCCTCGAGTCTTCGACGGTCCATTCGCCGCGAGGGTAGAGACCATCCTGTCGGCCCGCACATATCTGGATCGTCCAGGTCGTGCCTGCCAGAGTGGCTGCTGAGGCGGGCGGGGCTCGAGGCAGCCCTAGTGCGCGAGGCGTCGTGACGGCCGAGACTGTCTGCCAGAACAAAGGTACCATGGCCTTTATCGTGCCATGTCGGTGTCCTCTTGGCTGGACACACGGGCACACCGTTATTTTTTGTTTTTGAGAGCGCCTTCGTTGTTAATATGTGCCTCGCCGGCCGGAGAGATTGCTGGAGGTAGAGCAAGCCTGCTCTAGCCTCGCATGTCACTTCCTGTCGTCTGTTGTGTCGTTGTGCCTTTGTTTGTTTCTCTTGGCACCGTGGAGTGCTGGGGGGGGCGACAGGGAGGATATGGCCTTGAGTTATGTGTACGCCAACTCAGGGTGTGTGGCAGCCCGCTGGCTGTGTGTCTTGTGAGCCTGTTTGTGTCTGTGTGTCGCTCGTGCGTGCCGTCATCATCTGTCTAGCGTCCACCCATACCGCGTTGGTGTCCAGTCCGAGCCTGGCTGTTCTTCACCTTTCTACCTACCTACCTGTTAATAATAATACAGACGGATGGACACTTGCTGTAGCCACATGGCACGCACACACTCACACCGCACCGCACCCCGCACCCGCGCCCCCCCCCGCCTCGCCTGAGTTGGAAGGAGATGGGAAGATGGAACAGCCCGAGGAAAGGAGCGAACAAACACGTATGGGAGGTTGAAGTTGTGCACCACGCTGCCCGGCGTTTCTCACTTTCCGGGACAGCCCCGCCCTTGTGAGGCAGGAAAGTGGCGGCTACCCCGTACGCACTGTTGGGCTACGACCCCCTCGCCGACCGTCCAGACTCCCCCTCCCCTTCCCCAACCCCGACGAGCCGACGAATGGTTGAGCCTCTGACCTTGCGCGTCCCCGTCCCCCGCCACCCCTCACTGACCCTTCTGACACACCCCGGACACGCACATACAAGACAAACCCGGCGTCCTGCTCTCAAAAGAAAAGAAAAAATGGGAAGGAGGAGACCAGCGGGGGAGACTCCCCGCCTATGCAACACCCCAGAGCCGCCTATGCAACTCCCGGGGGAGACTCCCCGCCTATGCAACACTCACTCACGTCTCTCTCACAACGAAGGAGACGGCGCTGTGCAGCTCAGCAGCAAATCAGCATGAGCGAGGTCTTGAACGCCTGGCTCAACTCTGTCTGCTCTGCCTGGCTGTGCATGTAATTCCCGTGGTGATGGTGATGGGGGGCCGACGTGGCCGTCCGAAATTCCGCCGTGATCACGTCGCCTTCCGAAAGCGCGATGAGCTTCTGCACGACGCAGGATTGCGAGTCTTGCTGGCCCTGGGCATCCGAGGCCAGAAAAGTCCCCCCCCACGACGGCGTCGTTGAGCTTGATGGCGACGAGAGGGACGTTCGCGCCAACGTCCTGTTGTACCCGACCTGCAGGTGCGCCTGAAGGGTAAGCATGACGTTCGCGTCGGCTTTGATCTTGATGCTGCCGTCGTCGCCGACGTCGGCGAGCTCGGAGGCCTTTGAGGCCCACACGAAGCGCCGAGACCAGCCGCCAGAGTTGATGGGCGTCGCCATCGAGGCCGCCTCGAGCACGACGGCATCTCCTCCTCCGAGCGCACTGAGACGTAGCGGTAACGGGCTTGTCCGCCGACACCTGTTGCGGGGAGCCGTTGCCACACACACGCGGTCGTCGGCCTCTGCGAGACGTCAATGGGCGGGCTCATGAAGATGCTGCCATCGCGTGTTTTCTTTCTTTCGGACTAGACACCAACGCCGTTGGGCAACGCGGTATGCGTATGGGTGGACGCGAGACAGAAGATGACGACACGCACGAGCGACACACAGACACACAAACTCACAAGACACTCAGCCAGCTGGGCTGCCACGAATTCTTCCCCTACCCTGCTCGGACTGAAGCCGGGCTGGGTGGGGCTGATCGCGCCCAACGACCGCCCGTTGCAGTCGCGGTCCACCTAGCCGGCTCCACCTCGAAACCTCGAAAACACGCGCTTGCCGACCCACCTCATGTTATCATGCTCGTGCACGCTCGTCCTCGGTTTCCAAGCGCCGGCAAAGACGATGACGTTCGACGCGCCGGCTCCCGCGCTATTTGACCGTGCTCTCGTGCCTGGTCGCTCGATCCATGTTTGGCTTCCGCCCGGCTACCACCAGCAGCCTCGTCGGCGCTATCCGACCCTGTATGTGCATGATGGGCAGTGCTGTCTCTCCAACGATGAGGGCGGTAGCAGCGGCGGCGGCGGCGAAGGCAGCCGGTGGGACCTCAACTGCGCGCTCTCGCGCCTCGTCACCGCCGGCGAGATCTCGCCGGCGATCGTTGTGATGCTGGACTCGTGCGGAGGCGGCCATCTCCTTGACATGGACCTGCCGCTCGGGCCAGAGATGCCGCCCGTGCCGCTGCTCAGGCGGAGGTGGCTCGAGTACGGCGACAATCCGCTCGGCCGCAAGTACATCGGCTACGTCTGCGACGTCGTCAAGCCCGCCATCGACGCGAAATTCCGCACCCTGCCGTCGCCGGAGCACACGTCGGCGATGGGCAGCAGCATGGGCGGCCTCTGCGCCTTTCTGAGCGCGTGGCGCCGGCCCGATGTGTTCGCGCACGCAGCCTGCCTCTCGCCCGTCTTTCAGCTGCCGCTCATCACCGAGGTGGCGCTGCGGAGGCGACTGCGGCCGGACGCGCGCCTGTACATCGACAACGGCGGCGACACCGATTCACGCAAGGTGCCGCTCATCGAGCTGGCCGATGGGTTCGACCCGGTCTGGCAGCTCGGAGCCTGGTACCTCGACACCAGCCTGCAGCCGGGCGTCGACGGGATGTGCGCGGCTCTGCGCACGCAAGGCGTCCCGTTCAAGTACCATCGCGAGGCAGGCGGACGGCACAATGCCCGCGCGTGGGGCGGGCGCGTGGAGCGACCGCTGCGCACGCTGCTGCCGCCCGACTCGTAAGGCGACCGTGGGTGTGCGGCACCGCGGTCGGCGAGAGGAATCGCACGAACGGCTGGGTTTCCGGTGGGCACAGGGAGCACTTGGAGTGCAGTCATTCACCTCACACCCAGCTCCCTGGGAGCTATGAAGCGCACGCGAAGTTTGGAGCGCGGAGTGCGGATGGAACACTTGGAGCACATCGAAGTTTTCTCGAAATTTTCGCACAGAGGGCACGCGAGGTACGACCGTGCCCGGCCGTGCTATTAAAGCGACTCGGCTCTCTAACAGGCTGCAGCCCAGAGCCACACGGAGTCTACGCGCATCGCTTGTGCATAGCCTCGACCAATCTCCTGTTCACGGTGCAACCGTGAACAAAGAGCTTCTTCGAACCGTTACAAACACGACGCGAGCCGCCCAGCAGGGAGCCTGGGCGACTCGCTTTGACCTCCCCCCCCGCCCCACAGTGCGCCAGCGGCGCATTTGGGATGGACACCACACGTCGTCACACCGAGCAGCTCTCTGTCAACGGAAATTTCTCAGTTCTGATGCGTCATCCGGATGGAGCAACTGGCTTTGCTTAGATTGGGAGTCCTTTTGCTATGTGCTCTACGCGGGGAACTATGCCTCTTTTAGCCTCATCCTGCAGGCGATAGCCCAGCCCGCGTGCAGCGGTGGCGGCGACACTTGCAACACGAGCACGCCTCGCTTCGGCGCGCTCGATCCTTCACAACGGGCCGCCCGCAAGGACGCGTGTGCGGCCCTCTCTACTCGACCTGTGCCACGGCACGGGTCGTTCTAGTCATGCAGCCGCCCCGGCGATCGTGCTGGGGGCGTATCTCAGCACTCACCGCGCGAGACGCGTGGAGTGCCACACAAACCAGTAAACAGCAGCCTCCGCTGCTGCGACTCGAATGCTTCAAACGCGCACCTGTGCTTGCGCACGGCGTGCCCTACACGAGCCTCCCTACCGCACGAGCGTGCGGGCGGCTCGAATCCACCCTTCCCCCGCCCTAGCCACTGTTGGCTGGGCGGTGGGTGCCGTCCGCCTTGCGGCGGCGGCGACACTTGCAACACGAGCACACCTCGCTTCGGTGTGCTCGATCCACTTGCAACACGAGCACACCTCGCTTCGGTGTGCTCGATCCTTCACAACGGGCCGCCCGCAAGGACGCGTGTGCGGCCCTCTCTACTCGACCTGTGCCACGGCACGGGTCGTTCTAGTCATGCAGCCGCCCCGGCGATCGTCCTCGGTGCGTATCTCAGCACTCACCGCGCGAGACGCGTGGAGTGCCACACAAACCAGTAAACAGCAGCCTCCGCTGCTGCGACTCCATGCTTCAAACGCGCACCTGTGCTTGCGCACGGCGTGCTCTACACAAGCCTCCCTACCGCACGAGCGTGCGGGCGGCTCGAATCCACCCTTCCCCCGCCCTAGCCACTGTTGGCTGGGCGGCGGGCGCCGTCCGCCTTGTTGCGGCGGCGACACTTGCAACACGAGCACACCTCGCTTCGGCGCGCTCGATCCTTCACAACGGGCCGCCCGCAAGGACGCGTGTGCGGCCCTCTCTACTCGACCTGTGCCACGGCACGGGTCGTTCTAGTCATGCAGCCGCCCCGGCGATCGTGCTCGGGGCGTATCTCAGCACTCACCGCGCGAGACGCGTGGCGTGCCACAAACCAGTAAGCAGCAGCCTCCGCTGCTGCGACTCGAATGCTTCAAACGCGCACCTGTGCTTGCGCACGGCGTGCCCTACACGAGCCCCCGACCGCACGAGCGTGCGGGCGGCTCGAATCCACCCTTCCCCCGCCCTAGCCACTGTTGGCTGGGCGGTGGGCGCCGTCCGCCTTGCGGCGACGGCGACACTTGCAACACGAGCACACCTCGCTTCGGCGCGCTCGACCCTTCACAACGGGCCGCCCGCAAGGACGCGTGTGCGGCCCTCTCTACTCGACCTGTGCCACGGCACGGGTCGTTCTAGTCATGCAGCCGCCCCGGCGATCGTGCTCGGGGCGTATCTCAGCACTCACCGCGCGAGACGCGTGGCGTGCCACAAACCAGTAAGCAGCAGCCTTCGCTGCTGCGACTCGAATGCTTCAAACGCGCACCTGTGCTTGCGCACGGCGTGCTCTACACGAGCCTCCCTACCGCACGAGCGTGCGGGCGGCTCGAATCCACCTTTCCCCCGGCGGCGGCGGCGACACTTGCAACACGAGCACACCTCGCTTCGGCGCGCTCGACCCTTCACAACGGGCCGCCCGCAAGGACGCGTGTGCGGCCCTCTCTACTCGACCTGTGCCACGGCACGGGTCGTTCTAGTCATGCAGCCGCCCCGGCGATCGTGCTCGGGGCGTATCTCAGCACTCACCGCGCGAGACGCGTGGAGTGCCACACAAACCAGTAAACAGCAGCCTCCGCTGCTGCGACTCGAATGCTTCAAACGCGCACCTGTGCTTGCGCACGGCGTGCTCTACACGAGCCTCCCTACCGCACGAGCGTGCGGGCGGCTCGAATCCACCCTTCCCCCGGCCTAGCCACTGTTGGCTGGGCGGCGGGCGCCGTCCGCCTTGCGGCGGCGGCGACACTTGCAACACGAGCACGCCTCGCTTCGGCGCGCTCGACCCTTCACAACGGGCCGCCCGCAAGGACGCGTGTGCGGCCCTCTCTACTCGACCTGTGCCACGGCACGGGTCGTTCTAGTCATGCAGCCGCCCCGGCGATCGTGCTCGGGGCGTATCTCAGCACTCACCGCGCGAGACGCGTGGAGTGCCACACAAACCAGTAAGCAGCAGCCTCCGCTACTGCGACTCGAATGCTTCAAACGCGCACCTGTGCTTGCGCACGGCGTGCTTTACACGAGCCTCCCTACCGCACGAGCGTGCGGGCGGCTCGAATCCACCCTTCCCCCGCCCTAGCCACTGTTGGCTGGGCGGCGGGCGCCGTCCGCCTTGCGGCGGCGGCGACACTTGAAGCGGTCGCGGCGCGTATGCGTCGTACTGTTAGGGCGGCCGGGCCCGAAGACGGCCCGGCCAGGCTCTGCATAAGGCCATCTTCGCCACAACGCGTGGCATTGGTCCAACTACGGCAACCCACAGCGAGGGGGGCCGCTTAGGCGACCTTGCTCACATCAGCTGCATATGCTTCAGTGGTGCAAGGAGGAGTGGAGAGGGACCTTTGACGGTGTCTGGCCCATGCGGGTTGGCACGTACCTAGTTGTGCGCATATGCGTACGCGACCGCTTTGGAGCGCGGGGCGGCGGCGTCGATAGATATCGACGCCGCCGTCGCCGCGCATCATGACGAGTTCGCATTCCCCATGTGACCCTCTATACCTCACCTTCGAGACAAGCCAGGGTTCAACCCAATGGACCTAGTGTGGCGTCGAGGCCCGCACTGTCTGGACATGCGGGCCGCGGCTGACAGAACGGCGGGCTAGGCATTGAGCGCGCAGGAGTTTTAATCTATACACACATTCTATCCTGCTGCACTTGGGGTGGGACGACGGGGGTAGACCGTGCTGTTGCTGTGAACAGCTGGGGCACGCGCCTTATCTGGCCCGGCCCCTTGGGGACTTGCGGCTCGGGTGCGACCTCTAACCGCGGGTCGCAGACCGTGCTCTCGGTGTCCGATGACATGGCGCCTCTTCACGATCAGCACGCCAGTCTGTTCACACCTCTCTTCTGTTCACTTCACGGAGTGACAGGGGTTCGTTACCCAGTTTAAGAAAGGCTTCAAGAAAACACACACACAGAAAAACACCCTCATTTACAAACGACCGG